AAAAAAAAAAAAAAAAGAAATACCTTGGAATAAACCTAACAAAACAAACTGAAGACTTCTACACTGAAATCTATAGTATTCTGAAAAAAGAGATAGAAGATATGAGAAAATGGAAAGGCATCTCTTGCTCCTGGGTAGGAAGAACCAATATAGTGAAAACAGCCATACTCCCAAAACTGCCATATAGATTCAAAACAATCCCAAATGAATTTCAGAGGTCTTGAGAAAACAATCCAAAAATTAATTTGGAACAAGAAGAGACCTAGAATAGCGGAAATAATTCTAGGCAAGAAAGACAAGGTAGGGAGGTAGGGAGTAACACAATCCCCAACTGGAAAGCTACTGTGATGAAAGCATGGTACTGGAAAAGAAACAGATGGGAGGATCAGTGAAACAGATTAAAAGATGCAGAAACAACTCCAGACACATTGAGACACCTCATCTTTGACAAAGGAGCCAATCACTCTCACTGGAGGAAAGACAGGCTCTTTATAAATGGTGCTAGAAAATTTGGGGTTCGACTTGTCCAAAGATTAAAACTAGACCTGTATCTGTCCCTATGAACTAAACTACAATCGAAATGGATTAAAGATCTAAAAACAGAAACACTAAACTGGCTGGAAGAGATGTTAAATAGAACTCTTGAAGACATTGGTGTAGGAAAAGATTTCATGAATAAAACCTCAGTTGCAAGGCAACTAGCACAAATAATTAACAACTGGGATATCTTCTTATTAAAACTTTTTAAGTGACCCATTTTATGGTACCCAGTTAACAAAAACATACATTCTTTGTAGAAAATATGTGCATGTTTTGAGTTTATGAAGAGTACTTGCTGTATTTTTCCATTTCTCTTTGGAAACACATTTTCTAATTGTTAAAAATTATAGGACACAATTCTGCTGATGCAGGACAGCAGAAGGAATGGCAGAACAGGAGATAAAAAATATGTGACTTAAAAAAACAAATCAGAAAAAATTTAAAACTGTTAAATTAAAATTTATTTGAGGGCTGAGGATGTATTTCAGGGGTAGAGTACTTGCCTAGTATACACTGACACCAAGTTTCAATCTCAAGTACCACCAAAAAAACAACTAAAAAAGAAAATTAACAGAAACTGCAGAATGTTTACTCAACAACATAAAACAAAGCTGAGATAAAGTCCAGCATGGTGGCGCATGCCTGTAATTCCAGCACTGGGGAGGCTGAGGCAGGAGGATCACTGAGTTCGAGACCAGCCTGTGTAACACAGTGAGTTCCAGGTTAGTCTCAACTATAGTGAGATCTTGTCTCAAAAAACAAAACAAAAAACAAAAAACAAAAAACAAAACAAAACAAAAAAGCTGAGATAAACTGATTTCTAAGTCAGAAAAAGAGTAATTAAAAGTGTTATTCCATTATTGATGCAATACATGTTAAAAAACAAACAAAAAAGGAACCTAATAAAATCAAAAGGAAAAGACGTATATTTCAATACAAAGCATAGTACCATAATTAAAATAACCTTTAGGGAAAAATGTAACAGAAAATATAGAAGCAGAGAGCAAAAGGCAAAATGCTCTTTATAAAAATATTTTTAAATGAATTGCTAAACGCTATGTGTATCTAACAGAATTTGATACAAACAACTGAAACAGTATGTATAACTAAATGACAGATTTGAAAGGTAAAATAGTATAAGACTAAATAGGAGTAGAAATAACATTAAACAACATAAAATTTAAGATCAAAAACAAAGGAAGAAATAAGAGAATTATCTCATATGCAAGAGGGAGAGTTTCCTAACATTAAATTGCAGGTAACTGTCTTTATAACATTTGAAATCTTCTCAGCCCAAAAGTACCCTATGTTGCCCTGCTTCTAAGAATGGAACACTTTTCCCTTGCCAACTGCAACAATATTAAGTCTCCTCAGTAAATACTACTGTAAGGACACCGGGGCTTGATGTGCTTGCTGCATTCTGCTTTTCTCAAAGGCAGGCCTGCGAACAGCTCACATGGCTTCACCTGACATCTGAGCAGAGTACCACACCTGGTGGTCAGTGTTCCTAGAAATCTATATAGGTACAAAACACATGCTGCATTTTATTGCAGACAGACTCTCTTGGCACCTCTGCAAACTTCAGGACCAGCAGACTACTGTAATGCCTTCTGCAAACAGATCTATTTCTCAGCCCTAAGAGTCTTTTGCTGTTTCTGTAGTTTCAGCATTCTCTTAATCTCTTAATGGACAATCCCAATCATCCCAAACTTCTATTATAATAATTTTTTATAGTCAGGCATGGTGGTGCATGCCTGTAATGCCAGAACTCTGGGAGGCTGATAGGAGGACTGAAAATTCAAGCCAAGCCCAGGCCACTTAATGACTTACTATGACCTTATTTCAAATTAATGAATTTTAAAAAGAGGGACTGGAAACATAGCTCAGTACAAAGGTCAATGGGTTCAATCCCTGGTATTTCTCCTCAAACAAAAAATTATTTTTAAACTCTGTATGTTCAAATTACTGTGTGGTTTTTGTATTCTGAGTAGCTCCAATGCAATCACTGATGTTATTTCAGGGCTCTTTCTGGATCGGTAAACACTATTTTTACCTTCATGCTCAAAGCACAAGATTGAAAACATCAAAAGCACTAAAGTCAAATATCTTAATTCAGTATTTCATAGATGACAATTTTTAATTTCTCCAATTTGATAAATAAATCTTACCTTATATTTAGCTACCTCTGCTGCCATTACTTCAATTTGACCTTCATAGGATTTGATAGCTTCATTTACAGCTTCAAGCTGTTGTTTATAGGATGCATGCTCTCTCTTGAGTTCTTCAAGCTCCAGGGTGATAGCTTCAACTTCCTACAGAAACAAAATATGTAGTTATTCACACAGGTCCTTAACTATTGACAAATATGTACAGCACTAAAAAAAAGCAAGTTCACATAAGACCTACAGCTTAGTCATAACTCAATTACCAAAAATGTATGTTAAACTGCTTCCTTAGAAGGAGGAAATGAAAGTTTACTCTCCCATACCTAAGCCGGGGGGGCAACGACAAGTGTTTGTATGATGTTAAGAGTTTAAATTACTACATAAATTATTTCCTGTAATCATTTAATCCTATAAGATAAATAATATAAATTCTACATGAGATGAATTAGTTCAATTTTAAGTAAAATTGTTTAATGTGCAAAAAATTTAATTTTATTTCCCAGTAATAACCTTTTAATTTGTTGAAAAATATTTTCTGCAAGTAATCAATGACAGAATTTTAATGTAAGTTAAAAAAAAAAAACTGAAGAAAGACTTGGATGAAACTGTATAGAAGAGTTTTGTCCCTGGAGACAAAAAACGTAGCTTCGGCACCATTCAAAACAATGAGATACTATCTATCCAAAATGGAACTATACCTTATAAATATAGTATGGTTTGTCTCCACTGTTTCAATAGCGCACATTCAAATAGATGGTTACTGAAGAGATATGACCACTTGCCAAATCTTTTATATAATTCCATACATCATATAATTCACCTGGATGGAAACACTTTAGAAAAGGCAACTTTGCTCTTTCCCTAAAATTAGTACATAAAGTGCAATCCATACTCTCGTTACATTCAATTAGAGTTTTCAAAGAATAGAATATTTAGCTTATATATGCATAGCTTATTTCTTAAAAATACAACTCACTTTCAGATTTATTGATGAATAAGGCCTATCTATGATACTCTTCCATATTCCATTCTATGTTGACTTGATTCTTTTTTTATTTAGTTTATTGATACAAGTTAGGTATACATTACGATCAGTTTAAAAGATTTGTTCCATTTCAAGAAAAGTTATTACCTGTTGCTTTTCTTTCATTTTCTTGCTAGATGCATCTGCCTTTGTTTTGGCATAATCCAATTTTTTCTGAGCATCCTTTAGTTCTCTTTCTCTCTCAGCTTCTGCATTTTTCATTTTATTCTCTAATATTTCATATTTTTCTTCTGCTTTTTTTTGGATTTCTTTGGTGGTTTTTAAGGTCTCTTCACTTTCCGCTGCATTATAAAATAGTTAAATGTAGCTAAATTAACATATATAGATAGAGACTTGAAAAAATTCAATTTATTCAATAGAAGAAATAGCCTGGAAAATTAGAATTTAAACAAAATGAACTACTCTAACCATATTATACAAATGGCATATTGAAACAAATCCCAAGAGTAATGCATGAATTATAAAAATATCTGAAAGCACTTCAAATGGCATGAAGCTAAGTAACAAACTTTACCTTTAACTTACCTACTTTTAAAAAGGTTTTGAGTAACTTATTGAAAAGATCTCAGCTCCTATATGTGAGTATTTTTTCCCTAGTTCTGGGAACTGAACCACATTATCACTGAACTCACATCTTGAGCCTCACTACTCATTATTTCCAACATCTCTGTGTATTCTAAAAACAAAACTAATAGTATAGCCACGACATCTTCCTATAATTTTAGTCATCTGAAAGCTCATAGTTCTTGGTTCATTTATCCACATTGAAGTAATCTCTCATTCAAGTAGAGAAATATAGCAGAAAATATGCCTAGGATGAAGCATAAGAAAAATATTTAAACTAAAAGAGCAAGGCAGAATGGAAAAACGTCAAAATAGACATACACTGCTTATATTAGCATTCAGGTAAAAATATTACCCTGAAAGCCACAAAATGGATAATTTCCTATATTATTTTGTTTGGCAGGATAAAAATATTAGTGTGGAAACTGGTGTGTGGATACTGTCTTAAGTTACAAGGAACATAAAAGAAAAATCATATAAAATTAATTCTGATGAAAAAGAACATGAAAGATTCTAAAATTACAGAGATAGCTATAAAACAGAATTACATTCAACATTAAAAACATTTAACAAACATTCTATAATTTTAAGTACATCAACCAAAAAACATAGCTGCAGTGCACAAAATATACAAGAAATTATAACTATTTATAGTATGAGAAATTATAACTGTTTAGTATGAGAAAAATGGGGAAAAAACATACACAGTCAATAGAAAAAATAGGCAAAAGAAATAAATATGAAATTCAGGAAAGTAGAAACCCAAAGGTCCACTAAATTTTATCAGTGATCAGGGAAATTCAAACTAAATGCCAATGAAAATGCTAATGTGCTTCCTTTTTACAATTATTCAACTGTAAAACTTTAAGTCAGAAAGGAAAGGATTTGAAGAAATAGAACTTTTACATGCCATGGTTAGAAATGAATGTTGTTAAAAATGGACAAAACATTAACAATGAAGATGACCACATTCTATCAGAAGTTCCACTCTGATTTACTCCACAGAAACACTCCCCCATGTATCAATATGAGTCTTCTAAATATAAGAAAAGGATATCAAGATAAACAGAGATTTAAGTACGGAATGTTTCGATCTTACCAATAGTTTTTTTAAGGGCATCCAATTCTTCTTGCTGCTTATGATAAGAGCTTTGCTGGAGCTTTGTTTGTAATAAATCTGCTTCCTCAGTTTTCATTTCCCACTGCTGTTTTAGTTGGCGATATCTTGGAAAAAAGTTTATATGTACGATATAAAATTAAAGTTTGATGAAAATCTGTGCATTTCCTCAGGTATGAGACATACATACACTTCAGGCTCTTCCCTGAAGTAAGCTAACAAACATACAGTATAAACAATATAATATACTGCTCATCATCAGAAAAACTTGATGAGCTGAGTATGGTGGCTGACACATACCCATAGTTCTAGCCATCTGGGAGACCAAGGCAGGAGGATTGTAAATGACAGACCAACCTGGGCAACTTAGGAAACCTGGTCTCAAAATAAAAAATTTTAAAAGAGTTGGGGATAGAATTCAATGTAATGGCTTTTGGTTCAATCTTTAGTACCACAAAAACAAAAAAACAAAAAAGAAAACTGGTGATTCTCAAGTTTCTGAGGCATCCACTAAATTCAAGTCTCATTTTAGCAAGTCTGATTTGGTCATTGAAGGTTAACAACCTAAATAACAAAAACCCGTAACAATTATTTACAAAAAGACCTTAATTTTAGAAAACATTAAAATTAATCTCTGGAGGGGGGGATATGAGGCAGGATCTCACTTTGTAGTTTAGGCTGGCCCTGAATTCACTATGTCACTCAGGCTGGCCTCAAACTCGAGGCAATCCTCCTACCTCAGCATCCCAAGTGCTGGGATTATAGGAACGTGCCACCACACCTAGCTCTAAGAAAACACTAAAATTAATCTTTATAAGTTTTCTTAAAAATAACCCCCGCCACCGCTGATTCTTACCTAAAAGAAAAACTTCAGTTACTACTCACTACAAATGTAAGATTGTCATAATTAGATAGAATTCCAAAAGTCTGGCTATATATTTATTAATCTCTATTTTCAAATGTTATAATAATAATGTTCCTTGTTTCTTGAAGTAGGACAGACTGCTTAAGGCATGGGACTTTCATCATTTGCAATGCATGTTGCTGTAAACTCTGTAATTCTATCCTACAAGTGGCTGCTTCAGTCAGTTCTATGGAAAGTACTTAGCTATTTCAGTTGCAGTGAAATTCCAAGTTAATATAAATTCACAATATAGTGACAAGGACGTCACTAGAAATTCATGAGGTTTGGGGGTCAAAGCATACAACTCAAAATATAAATACTATCTTGAGTATTCTTCTCTGAAACTGAAAGTAAGACACTAATTTTAACTTCATTTAAAAAATGTGGAATACAGAAATTTAAAAAAATGATAAATTTCTTACAACTGATCAGTGTTATAGTATATCAAGTAAATTCAAATCAAGAACTCAAGTATTCTCTGCTATTCCCTGATTTTCTAAGGTTTCCTCCACCAACTCTAGCAAGATGCTAAATGTGTGTGTATCAGCAGCAAGAACAGAATATTTGACACTTTTTCCCTCTTTTGGTAAATTAGATACTCTCATTTCTCACAACGAAAACATTCCTTTTATCAGAAAAAAATGAATAACAGCTAAATTATCAAATATTGAAATATTTTAAATAAAACCAGATATCATTAAAAATTCAGAAGCTGTATTTCTTTAAATAAATTTCCATCATTTTCTAAATCTTTGCAATACAGAGCTCAATCCAAAGTCTTACTTTTCAGCAGTATTTTTAAGATGTGCTAATTCCTCCTCTAGAGCTTGTAGTTCTTTCTCCTTGATCCTCAGCTCATCCTGAACATCTTTGAGCTCTTGAAACTTGGTTAAAATAGAAGCTGCCTGAGATCGAGCACCTGATAGAGACAAGAAGTAGATTTATTAAGCAATAAAATTTTTTCTTAATAATAATTGTACTGCATATAAGTCAATTAAAAAAATCCTATGGTGAACTTATGAAGCTAAAGAATTCATGAACCTAAAAACATACATGACTGATAAATGGTTTTTTTTTTTGGTACTGGTGATCAAACTCAGGTCCTTGTGCTTGAGAGTTTTGTTTTTTTTTTTTTTGCTTTTTGAGACAGGGTCTCACTATGTAGTTGAGACTGACCTGGAACTCACTATGTAGCCCAGGCTGGTCTCGAACTCACATCGATCCTCCTGCCTCAGCCTCCCGAGTGCTGGGATTACAGGCATGTGCCACCACAGCCGGCTAAGTGGTTCTTAATAAATGTAATCATTACCCTGTTTAATAGGTCGTCCTTCCAATAACCATTTTCTACCCCACAGACCCTGAGTTTGGCCACCTGATTATCTCTGGCCAATGAAATGAGAAATGTACCTCTCTGTATGTAAGATTTTAGAGGTAGTAAATAATTCGTAATTTGCTTTTCCTTCACCATAAGAAAAATATGCTTAAGGTGGAGATTATTCCTTGAGATTGAATCACAGAATGAAGAAAACATGAAATAGAGGAACCTGACCTGCAGTAAATGTAGTGTAATTATGGAATAAATTTGTTGTAAGCTATTATGATTTGAGGGCTCTCTGTTACCATATCAAATCTGGCCTAAGCTCAGACACAGCAGAGCAAGCAGGATAAACTGATTTCACATTGCTATACAAACAATCATGATCATCTGATTCTAATACACTGGCAAGAAAACACTGTAGGTTGATGAAAGAAGGCCAGGGTCAAGTACTAATGCTATTGTGAGCTCTTCGTTAACAAGATACAGCATTTCATATTTACCAACTCTTAAGAAGAAACTTTAAGTATATGTGAATCAATGAAATCTAAAGTTTCTTTTCTTTTATTTAAAGTACTTAGTTTGGGGCAACCCACTTTCTGGTCCCCCTTCTATCTCTCTTAGCCAGAAGCTATCTTTCTCTTGATAAATTTTCCTACTCTTAAAAAAAAAAAAAGTACTTAGTCTGTTTCCATTTTCCACTTGCAGATACTAGTAATTTTCTGTGTATTGAGGAATCTGATACTTGATTCATTTAATTGGTGGAGAAAGACATAAAGACATTAAGTCACTTGATTTATCAAAGGTCTTTATGCAGACTACTGGGTCAAATGCATAGACTCTAAAATCAAACTGCCTGGTTTCCAATTCCAAATTTTGTCACTTAATAGCAAGTTATTTAACCTCTCTAAATTTTCAATTTCTGTAACTGTATATTGGAGATGATAGTAATGTGCCTACTTTATAGTTGTTATTAAGAATTAAATGAGTTGAAATAATTTAAAGCCCATAAAATAGGGCTTTACAGAATGACAGAATGTTTTGGTATCTGTACTAACCATTTTAGTTTGAGCCCTTAAAATACAACCGCTACACTACAACTGAAAAATTAATTTATTATTTGAAAAGAACCACAAATGGCTAGTGGCTATTGTACTGTACAACACAGTCTTAGATTACTGCTTAGTATAGAATATTATTCACTATTTTTTATTATCTTTTTACACAGACTTGGAAAATCAACGTGGCAAATATTGCAACAAGAAAAAATATGCTTAGGAATATGCTTAGGAATTCCTCTCCTACAGAATTAAGGTTCCATCAAGAGTTTTTACTTTTGACAGGAATAGTGGCAGCACTGATGTGAATTAACAGGTTTCCTGAATAAGTGGGTAGATAGATAAAAAAAAAAATGTATCTTAAACAAATGACATTTCCCTGACTACAACTGCACCAAAAGTAAGATTAAATACGCATAAATATCCTAGTATCAAATATCAGTGACTGGAATATCCTAATAGGAAAAACAAAGCACGATGAGGTGATACCCTTAAGTGAAATAAAGAGGACACAAGTGTAAATACCGAATAGTTTCTCTAGTGTGAGAAACTGAAAGTGTAAATAAGGGCTAAAAGGTATAATAGATAATGTGAAATAGGAAGAAATGGTGTAAAGGGGAAGGTGAACTGTGAGGGGTAGGGAAAAAGAAAGAAGGGAATGAAATTAATATAAGAAAATGAAAAAATGGAAACAAAGTCTTTGTAAATAGGGAGGGAGGGGTTAAAGGAAGGGCAGGGGAATGAGGAAAAAATAAGAACCAAGATGGATTATATAAAGGTGCAAATTTCCAATGATGAATGTCATTATATTGGATAATTTAAATGTACCAATAAAATTAATAAAAAATAATTCATAAGTAAAAATTGAATAAATCCATATTCTTGAAACAAACAACAAAAAAGGAATAGATCTGAGATTAATAAAACTATAGGATTAACTAAGAGACCACGGGCTCCTTGAGGACTAGGACACTGTGTAATTTCTCAGTATTATTATGTACCTTTCAGATTGTAGGTATTCAAAATTCCACTCAAATCTTAGATTAACATTAAGAATTTGACTATAAATGCTTGATCTTAAATATAAAGCCTGGGCTGGCTTTAGTCTTGGTTCTAATCAAAGACTTCTAATTAAAGTTTGAATTTAATAATTTAGGGGTCACCCAACCCCTAAATATTTGACATAGTCTCTGTGTAATAAAGAAAGAAGCCCATCTTTATTACCACAGTGTAGTAATGACAAAGGACATAAAACTTACCTCCACTCAATGTTCCATGAGGATCAAATACATCACCTCCTAAAGTTACAGTTCTAGTCATTATCCTATTATCAAAGGCCACCTTTTTGGCATTATCCATATTATCACAAACAAATGTTGTTCCAAAGACAAATTCCATTGCTTTCTGAAGTTCTGGTTTATACTCAACCAGGGAAAGAGCCACATGAACATTGTTAGGACCAACCTGAGAGAAAATAAGATATGTCACAGTACATACTACTTCCTTTCCTTTCACATATTATTCTTTAAAACAGTTAAGAACTGCTGTAACAGAGGTTTAAGTAATATTTACCTTTTATTTTTTTGCAGAACTGGAAAATGAACTCAGGACTTGTGCTTGCCAGGCAGGCACTGGCACCACTGAGCTAAACCTCTGGCCCATTACCTTTCATTAATTTTTTAAAATTTACTAAAGAGGGCTGGGGATTTAGCTCAGTGGTTCGGTGGCCTGCCTTGCAAGCACAAGGACCCAAGTTCAATCCCCAGTAACAAAAAAAAAAAAAAAAAAAAAAATTTACTAAAGAGCTACATAAAAGTCCAAGTTTTAGGGAAAAACTTATAGCCTTTTTTTTGTTTACGTTTTTACACACTCTTCCCCCTCCAAAAAAATTATAGGTTTAAACACAGAAGGATCTTACTGGTAAGAACAATATTTAGTGAAAGTATCACAGATTATAATAGCTTCTACCATGGATGAGCCAATATCAACTTCCTAAAAATCTGAAACAGACTATGTAAGCACACATTTCTTAAAGTATAGTAATTTCCAGGTCAATAAACTGTAACTGTTTTGTTTCAATCATTAGTAATTTGGTACTTCCACAATGAATACTTTTTTTACATAAATTAAATACCGTAACACCTACATGCCAATTACAGAAATAAAAACACAACCAATTATTAAGGGACTAGAAAATAACAGAAAAAGCCCCCAGCCCCATTTGCTAGTATGATCCAATTCCCTCTTTACAACCTTTCTTTATGCCTACTTCACCCATCTTTGTAGAAAAACTAAACTTCCCCTATGATGTTTAATAGCAGAAGAATGACAATGAAGGCAGTACTACATAACAATCAGATCTGGTTACAGAATCTAGGAGGAAGTATTTTTGCTATCACTCAAACTCTTTTTTTTTTCCCTCATTGCATATATTGGTATTTTTTTGGTATACTGTACAGTTACATTCATCACTGGGATCTTATACCTTTATATGACAGGTCCAGGTTCTCATTTTTTTCCCATACTCCTGCCCTCCCTTCCCTATTTGCAAAAACTGTTTTTTTTTTCCCCCCATTTGAAACTCTTACAACACTGGAACTCAATCCAAGTTGAATGAACTTCCTGAGCCTTTTTGACTCAAAGATGATTTTTCACATTAAGGGAAATACCAATTCAACACACTATCTTTGAATTACTTTGCATTCAGTTTTCCTCTCTTCGTAGTATACATATCAATACAATAATATTTTGAAATCATTTTATTGAAAGCTTCTCAATTTCAGTAAGGATGGATATCAACTTAGTATCTTAATTACAGATGATATTTCTAGGTTTCATAGAACGATCTTTTCAAGTCACATACCTGGAATACCTGGTCAATAACAAATAACTTTGGTGCTAAAATTGGTTATGATTAACTTCATGATTTAACCCAATATATGTCAATAAGAGTTTTCGAAATGTGTTTCTTCGTACACATCTTTCTTACTAACAAATATACCACCATAAATCCCCCTCAACACATAATTGGCATTTCCAAGCCACCTGAAATGTACTGTATGTCCCAAGGCTAAATAGCAATCTAAGAGAACTCTAATAAAAAAGCAACTCTGAAATACTGGTTAATACCTTAAACAATGGTTATCAGGGCATGCAGCTTAAGTGCGCCGGCTATAAGAAAGCATCAAAGAATTTTAAGTATGCATAAATTCAATTATAATTCTAAGTTCAATATAATTTTCACTACCCAATAACAGTTATATGATTTAATCTAAGGTTAAAGACATTCTAAAACTAAATTCTGAAGAATCAAAGGGAAATCTAGTCTCCCAATACCTCTATTTTCTTGCTAACTGAAAAAAAGCAAAAATCTAAGTTTTTTCTAGTTTAATTTTTTAATGAATTAGACAAAGTTAGAAAATTTGTGGATCTGCATAACTAAGACTTACAAGATTCTGAGCAACTCTCAAAGTTTCTGGAGTAATACATCTGGCTGAAATTTTATTGAGTGGAATTATAGTGTAACGTCGCTTCAATTCTCCTTTCTCTAGTAGCTTTTTACCAGTAACCTAAAAAATGAATTTGAAATTTTAAAAAAACTAATAAGAGTAAACATTAAAACAGAGAGTGTAAGTTTAGGAATCCATAATCAAATAAATGTTTAGTACTTTCTATTCGCAACAATCAAAAGTTTAAGAATACATACAGTAAATTGTTATTCAGTCAAAAAAAAGTATATGTTGCCATTTGTGACAATCTGTGTAAACCTGGAAGAGATGTATGCCATGTGACATAAGCCAGACATATGAAAATAACACATCTCACTCATGTGCAGAAAAAAAAAAAGAAAAAAAAAGAGAGAACAGTGTTACCAGGGACAGAAAGGGAAAGAAATGGGATAGAAATAGGTTGTAGGCCAAAGGTTACACATTTGCAGTTACGTGAATAAACCTAGAGATAAAATGTACAGCATGCAGATTATAATATTGTATTGTATACTGAAAGTTTATCAGAGAGTAGATTTTAGGAATTTATCACCAAAGGAAAAAAAAAGTAACAATGAAAAGTGATGGACACATTACTATGTAGGACTATAGCAATCATTTCACTATATACATACATCAAAAGGAATTTTAGAAACTGTAAGGCAGGACACCTGATAATGAATATGTAACATTTGTGTGAATAAGCATATTCTATCAAAGGACAGAAAATGGGAATTTAAGAAATGTAGAAAAATTTATTGTTTCTTGATGGGAAGACGGATATTAAAAATAAATTCTCAGATAATTTTACAAATTTAAATAAATACAAATGCATGGAAAAAGAAAATCTAAGATTTGTAACGTGCATTCTAAGCTTCTAAGCAAGTATGATACTTTCTTTAGCGCTTTACTTCTTTTAGAATAGCTATCAAAAAGTAAATAACTGAATAGTTTCAAAATACAAATAAAAGTCATCTGGGGGCCAGGGACTTAGCTCAGTGGTGTCACTGCCTGCCTCTCAAGCGCAAGGTCTCAAGTTTGATCCCCGATACCAAAAAAAAAAAAAAAAGGCATCTGGGTGAATCTTAAGTATTCAATTCTTTCAGCAGCATGATTTTCTAAGAAGAACACCAATTTTAAATTTCCTTTTATTAAAATCAATTTACCTCTGTGTCTACGACAACATTGTAGAGTCGTTCCCCAGCTACCAATTCTAAGGCTGTGGTTGCAGAATTATTTTTCACACTAATCAGAGAAGCCACAAGTCCTTTCACACAATTTCTGTTCCAGTTCTTTTCTGGATCTCTAAATTAGAAACATTGACAAAAATCAATCATAGATAAGAAAACAGAAAAAGTTGAATTTTGTTAGTCAAGAAGCTTGGACTGGAATGAAAGCAGAAAAGCACAGCTCTGCCAAAACAAAATTATAAAATGTCCCAGACTGACTAGTCAGTTACTCTTTTTAAATGAATTAAAAATCTTTTCATTAACTTTTTAATGTAAGAAAAACAACTTAAGAGACAGGATTATTGGATTCCATAACAAAACCCACACAACAAAAAAACTAAGATACAAATGTATTTAAGTCAAGATCCAATAACTTCAAAAACACTGAGTTGAAATTAAATTATCCTAATGTTTTGTTTTGACTATAAGATTAGTGATATCAGTAGCCATTACATTTCACAAAAATCCCTACCACATCTGAAACATTTAAATGATAAGGAAAAAAATCAATAAAAGAAAAGCAAATTACAATAATTTCCTTAAGTAAAAATCTATGAAGATTACTACTAATTTAAAATACAAGTTTAAATATCTTACTTGTATGCAAACTGAAGATTGGGAAATCTGGCCAAGAGAGCTTCATACGTTTCTTTCAATCTACTGATATCACGAGACAGTTGCCTGCGCTTTTCCAAAAGGTTTTCTTCTTTATTTTCTGAGGAATGAATCATAAGTAAATAGAAACTTAAGTCTAAAAATTTTACTGTGTGAAGCAAAATTTAAGCTAACTTCTATTTCCAAAGCATTCCCAGATAGAAAATGCAAATTTCCCAGCACTCAGGAGGCTGAGGAAGGATTGCCATGAGTTCAAGACCAGCCTGGGCTACATAGCATGAGTTCAGAGCCAGCCTGAACTACAAAGTGAGATCCTGTCAAAACAAACAAACAAAAAAATATACACCCACACCCACCATATTAGGTTGGTCTATCAGTAATCACTATTTCCCATATTATCAAATGATAAAAGCAAACCTCCATATATACCTATATCTATACGATATCTATATAGATATCGTATAGATATAGATATATATACCATATAGATATATATAGATATAGATATGTAAAGATATCATATGTATCTATATGGTATATATACTACATTATTACTATTGACAAACAAAATCTTAATTCCAGGGAACAACATATACATTGCCCACTCATGTAGAAATATATAATGGTCATTTCGGAGCCTTAAACTGCCTGAAGAACGAAATTTTAGAGTTCTCAAAAATTTGAAGGGTTGTTTTATACTTATTTTTATGATTATACTTACAAATAATTTTTACACTAATACCTATTAACAGAGTAAATATTGTTTCATTTTCATGCATTCTTATTTCCTTAGGTTGGTCTACCAGTAATCACTACTTCCCATATTATCATATGATAAAAGCAAACCTTCATAATTTAATTTCTTTATTTCTGTTTCAAGTTTTTCTTTCAGTCTCTTTACAGCTTCTAAAGCTTCTTGATCCTTCCTATAGCCACCATCCATCTTCTTAACTTCTACTTGTTTATTCTTTAATTCTTGCTGGGCATGTTTCAATTTCATTTGAGCCTGTGATAGAAAAATGTAACATTACATGAGGTAGATATGCTTGCAATTAAATGGCCACAGATTCAGACAGTTTTAATTAAGAGACTTCAGCCTTGAAAAATGTGACTGTGTGGTCTCTTGGATGAGTATTTCAAAAGAGCAATGGTTTCACAATATTTTCTCCTCAAACATTAACTACTCAAGAGTAAGAATATATGATTAATGTAAATCATTAAGTAATTTGCAATATGTCTACATTTTTAATATGTATGAAGACAACATATTAACCAAATTGAAAACTTTTATCAAAGAATAACTCAGTTGCTAGTTAAATTTAAAACACAATAGAAAGTTAGAAATCACAACCCAGTTCCTTTCCATTTAAGTGTTCACTCTCAGTATTGTCTACTAACAGTGAAGAAGGTGCATTAAGTGCTATCAGCAGTCATCACAAAAGAAGCAGAAATTCCCTAAATTGACAGAGAAATTTAAATGCTAGGAGTTTGATATTTAAACACTAGTTACTTCTGAATTTCAGAAACCTGCAGTTTATAGAACTGAGAGTACATTTTAAATTCATGCTAGTATTTTAATACCTAGGTAGTAATATCATAAATGACAGAAAAAAACTGAGCAGTCTTTCTGCAATTGGGTTTTTATAAATTTTTGTGACTCATCTCTGTAGGAAAAGTTATGAATATGTTATTAATAAAAAAATTTGAGTAAGATTATAAATACAGACGTTTCCATGTATATGTTTTTATGCTGAGTCCTTGAATTAAAAAAAAAAAAATAGAGCTGGGCATTATGGCACAGGCTTGCAATCTTAGCACTATGGTATGCTGAGCAGGAGGATCACAAGTTCAAGCCTAGAATGGGCAAGTTAGTAAGATCTTCTAAAAACTGGACTGCGGATTTTTTAGGACGTACATTCAATCTTCAATACTGAAAAAAAAAGTAAATAAAAGAATGTGTACACTGTGTGTATATACATATTTGTCTGCCACTAAAACTCCTGTATTGACAGGACTTTAAGTTGCACTATTAATAAATTAGAAAATCATTTAATAGATTGTAACAATTTAAAATCTGAGTGATGAGACCAAAGAGGAATGAATAAATATGTGGCAGAGATACTTCCCTTGGAAATGTAAAGGTTTTAAGAACTAGAAATGGTAGGCAAAACAATAGTGAGGCCAGTTTGTTTTCCTCCTGTTAAAGCTCAAGACTTCAGCTTTAAGATTTTAAGAACAACAGCTAGAAAAGACGAGAATAAACTAACTTCCAATATTTCAAACAATGCCACAAACAAAGTATTTCCTATAGTTGCAAACTGAGCTATGTTAATGTGTTTTACAGCACCTTGACAATTTAACATTAGTTACCAATATTTAAGAATCAACATATTTGAATTTTAATATATGATACTACAGAGTAGCAAAATTAAGTAAGCACGTTCCTTGACACTGAACTGATTATTTTCAGTATTCTGTTAAAAAAAAAAAAAGCAACCACATAGTGCTCAGTATGTGTAATTACCTGTTTAGCCTCTGTCTGAGCTTTACTTATGTCATTTTTACAGGCTATCATCTGACCAGCGATAGTTGCTTCTGCTCCATCTTCATTACTGGACAAACCAGCGGAAACAGCATTGAAGTGCTGCTGTGCGGCAGCCAAAGCTTCAGCGTCTTTATTACTTGTTTCTTGAAGGCCATGCAGCCCATCTGTTATACTCTGAACTTCTTTCTCCTTTGCTGCTAAAGTTTTAGAATCCTTTAGGAAGAATTTCAAATTAGTAAATGTTGCACTTTAGGAAAAACCATCCACTTTTTATACACACATACCCTATGTCATTATATTTTTTTAGCAATTTGAAGAGGGAATAAAGAAAATAACTATTATTAACTTTAAATATTAATAACCACTTTGAAATTCACTTTTGAGTTTTTGGGATATGACTTTTATATTACATGAAATATTGTAATTCTATATGTGATAAAAAAATCCAGGGGATATTGGGCTAACAAAACTCAGTGCAGATTTTAAAACACTTAAAGCTAAAAATTAGTTTCTAAATCTATAAAACTGAAGATATAGCCATCTACACTAAGTTTAAAAGCAAAGGTTTTAGTATTAAAAGCATGCATATGAAAATATTTAAAAAATACTAAAGGATTTAAAATTTCAGTATTAAACAGCTATGGAAAAATGTATTACTAATACTTAATTTTTTAAACAGTGACCAGATACCTGACACTATATAAGGCATCACTACCGAGGGGGAAAAATCTAGTTACCTCATTTACACGAAGTGATCAGAAATTCTGGGACACTCGATTAGTACATATATCATCAAATACATCTTAGGCAGGTACTTACTATATGCCAGGCACTAACCCAGTAAATGGATTCTAACCCATTAAAGACAAAGACTATGATAAAGACTATGACAAAGATTATGACTGTTCTCATGAAGCCTGTATTCTAGGATAAAGATATGTTAAACAAATAAAGCAAGGTCAAGGAAAAGAAAGTGACGGGAGATACTTTATGAAAAAGGAAAACCTTTGTGAGATGACATTTTAGCAGAAGCCTAAAGTAACAAACTTGTTAAGCAAAAAGTTACAGCCCTGTACTTGGTAAGTCCTGGGAAACTTATTTGGGTATTTGAGAAAATATGACTGAAGCAAGTGAGAAAATGTAGGAGGGAGCCAGGGATCATAATATGAAATGCTTTGAAAGTCATGATGAAGACTTTAGATTTAATTACATGCATGATATTGAAACTACTGAAGGATTTTAAGTATGAAGTGATGTGATACAATTTACATTTCAGTTAAAAAAAAAACAAACAAACTACAATGCAGCAAGAGTAAAAGTATGGTAACTAATAAAGACAGTACCGCAGGAGCCCTCATGGGATGAGGTGGCTAGAAAGAGGTTGGCAGTAATGGAGGTCTTAAAAAGTGGCTGTACTTTTGGATATACTTTTAAAGTCAACAGAATTTGGTGACAGGCATTTAAGGTGGCATCTTAGAAAAAAAAAGGGGAAATCTCTGGTAACGGTGGAGCCATTTACTGACATGTGGGAAATTTCGTAATTCAGGTGGGTTTGGGTAGGTGGGGAAATGATTCCATCAGTTATGTTAACACTTTCTCTTAGACATATGGGTAAAAATTGTTAACAGTTAAGCACTTGGACAAATGAATTTGGCATTTGCAGGACAATTGTCTGGATGTCCTTGGACTGCCCCAGTTCTCCCCCCGCATTCTCAGATGCAGTTCCCAAAAATAACTACAGAATGTACTAGACAAGCAGTATCCTGAGATAAAGGAAAGGCCTAAATAAATAGTCCATGCTCTCTGTTCTATTCCCTCCCTAGAAACAGGATCTACTGATTTAACCCAGCAATGTACATTGCCCTGGGGGCAGTCTGTTTTCTGGAGTCCTTCAGCTGCAGATCAAGTGGGGGCATACAAAGATAAGACTCTATTCCTCCTGGTAGCTTTCCTGAGTTTTTGTCATTTACTACCTATTTGTGAGCAATAAATATTTTATATAATTTGTATGAAATGTCACATAAGACACAGACAAGCTGGAATGTAGTGCATAGTAAATCTGCTTCACAGAACTGGCATGGTGAAGCAGGTCTAGTCTGGCATAATGACAAAGGGAGAGTGGCCTCACCTTACTAGCTCAAATCAGAGACATAAGCCTAGAGGGTTCAGGCGTCAGACATCCAGGTAGATGCTTTATGGTGAAGGAAGCACAGTAAGTGGGACACAGGTCACTCTCTCACAGATGTGAATAAGCTGGCTGTATGTATGGTTTGAGACAGACAAAAAGTAATGTAGAAATAAGAAATTCAGTACGTTATCCCAATTTGGGGGGCACTTATATACTTGCTCATTCCAAGTCCCAGAGACGGGAAGTGGGTAGTCAGAGTGACCTTGAAGCATCTGAGAGGAAATCAACCAACAACAAACAGGCCTTCACAGAAATGGAGATTCATTTACCTAAAGGACAGATATGGAGAAAGGCCCGGAAACCCTATACAAACAGCTATAGTATTTGTCTGGTAAAGGAACACTGCAGATTCCACTGGCTCAGTGGCAAAGTCAGGAATAGGAATGTAGTATCCAAATATCCAAAGGAGGACAATGACCATCAACTGCTCTCAAGATAAGAGTAGGGAATAAAAGGGACTTCAGACTGTTCAGGACTTCTCAGATACTGGACCCTGTATGACAGTACTTCTAGGTCTCCTTAGGGCATTGATGGCAAACCTTTTAGACCTTTCAATGACACAGACTGCTGCTGCAGGAGTGCTATAGGTTAGCCACCACAACCTCAGGTGAAAAACCAAACTGATGTCCTTGGGCGATTTAGGGATGAAAGCAGTAACCCACATTCTTCTTCCTTGAGAGGTGGAGTGGGGCCAGCTGGGTGCCAAAGACAGGATTCCCATTGTGGAGTATAATACTGGCATTGATATTTTGGATGCTTGTAATGCAGAACATCACTACCTCCTGAAAGAGTATGTCCTCTCACAGGGAAGAGCTCAGCCTTTAACAGTGAGGCATATTTAATTCTGCCTTATTGCCTAAGTTATCCAAGACCCAACTGGTTATTCAACAAAGCACTATTCCAAATTAAGTGGTAAATAAGACTGTTAATCTAAAAACTTGCTACATAAAAATGTGTCACAAAAATACCGTTACAATTAAACAACTGTCTGACCCATCAAAAAGTCTTTCTTCAAGGAGAATAACAATGATCTATCATAGACTGAATATCACTGAGATGCACCAGCCTCTTTGATTTTGGACACAAAAGTTGCTTGAGGTGCCTACCAGATGAATACCTTTTGAACAAGTAATCCCTTACTTGCTAATGAGCACTGGAGGAGACTAAGCATCTTAATGCTGTGGGCAATGTATGTACTTTGTGTTACTTGACTGGGGCAAAATGTTACAATCAAAATTAATGAAATCTTAAGAATTCTAAGAGTACTCTTATAATGTTCCTTTGGTTACAGAGATAAGTGTCCCAGGAGTGATGATGAAAACAGGAACTGGACTGGTGCTAGTACTCTGTGTGCTCCATGAAAAAATTTGTATGTGGGAAAGTGAGCTTATGCACCTATGCTCTTAATGAAATTTCAGGATGCCAATGCTTCCACACCCATAAATAGGTCCTTCAACAACAAAATGAGGAAACAGTTGCTATGTGCATCCAAGAGCTACAACTTTTTGGACAATATAGGGTTAACTCAAATACAAAACAGGTAGTACCATGTCTGAAACGCTGGCAGATGGCAATATCATGTATATTGTGAATGCTGGAGGTGCCGCTATCATCATTAACAATGAGACATACCACCAGGTCAACAGCTTATAACTGTACTTGCGAAGGAGCTACCCCGAGATGTAAATAACTCACTACAAAATCTTGAGAATCGTACATTACAGTCAGTACTCAAAAGAAAGCTATTCGTGACATAGCAGATACTGCTTTCACCAACGCCACTGCCACTCCTTTGGCCATTCAGTTATTACCATAAAAAAGACTATTTAAGACAGAAGAACTAATCTAAACTTTGTGAGCCCAATTGGAAAAAGTGTATGTGATTGTCAGCATCAGAAGCAGGCACACCAGCTGCAGATAGTAAGGTTACTTGCATGATCCTTCTTTGAACACTTTAACAAGTCTATATTTGCATCATTGGATCTGAGCTAAATCATTCTCCAGGCAGGCCTGATCACCTTGCTTGTGGTAACGGTACCTATTCTGGCTTTAACTCTACAATGTTGCATAGTGTCAGTCAAGGTGCTACATCAAAATAAGACAAATCTCCTCCTTTCTGGATTTGGAGAGATCCACAGGAAATGGAAATAGATTTGCTTTGTTAAAGGGGATGCTGGGTCAGGGGACAGACTTCAGGATAGTTTTCTGGGTGGTCATGGACTGACTCAACTGGCTGGTACTTCTCAAGAATAGCCACAGAATGGACTGGTTATACAATATTCTGAGTTAAGGAAGGACTCTGGTTCCATCCAGTCCTTCCCCAAAATGATGTCCTTCAATTCTTCAGCCTGGTACCTCGTATCACTTTAGGGCTGTGATGGTGGACCTTTTCAGAACTTTCAATGATACAAAAGCCCACTGCAAGGCTTGCCAATACTGCCTTAGAGTATAAATCCCAGAGCAAGCTGCTTTCTGAGGTCCCTCAGCTGTCAATGAGATGCAGATGAGATTCTATTTGCTTCAAGGAAGGTTTTCTTAGCCATGTGGAATCAGCTCACAATAAATTCTAGGCTTCTCCTGTCCTCTGCTGAAGCAATCTGTAAGTAATAAACCTACATAATGTTTTATGTATGTGTTCTGTCTTACTGGACTCAGTCAATAACCAGTGCACAATGAATCTGCTTCACTTAGTTTAGGAAAATAGTTAAACCTAGTTTAAAATTTGAAAGCATCAACATATGAGGCCGACAGTATTTAGAGCCACAGGGCTAGATGAGATGCCTAAGAAGCATGTGTGAAGAGAAAAAGTCTGTGTGCTAGCCTGAGGCATGCTAACATTCAGATATCGAGAAGAGTAATAGGATGCAGAAAAGGAGACCAAAAAGGAGCAATCAGTGGCCCTGCATGAAGCTTAAGGGCCTAGCAAGATTAAGGCAAAATATACCAAAACCAAGGGAGGTATGCACATTTAAAGCTTTAAAACCTGATTTAAAAAGAAATGATGAACTGACTGAGTTCAAACAGCAAATATAGTCAGTGCTCTGAAAATGTCTAAATCCTTACTAGTATAAAGAAATACTTTTTTCTGGGAAGTCAACTTTTTTCTCATAAAAAGGCAGATGTATGTTTCACTGAGACAACAGAATCACCCTCAAGAGAACTTCCATAAGCTCCATTCCACACCCACTCATCTACCTGCACATGAGATTATATTCTTGACTCTTCTGTCACTATGATTATTTCTACCCTTCTGCAAAGGCTATTTCCTGTAACTGCACACCAGTTCCTACCCTACTCTGACTTACAGAGGGAATTATTTCAACAATTTTTCCATCTCTCTCTTCTGAATCACAAATGCTGCCTTTGCTACTAGATTTTTTTTCCATCAATACTATATCTTCTTACTTCTATATCCTCATTAGTTCCCTTACCCTTTAATTTTTCATAACACTTCTTGAGTTATACACACTCACTCACATATATTTTTCTGTCTTTTCCAAGAGCACGAACAAACTCTGGTCACGATCGCACAATCACTTTTCAAAATATTTATTCATATGGTCTCTAGGACAACTTACTCATTTGATTTCCTTCATTCTCTCTTCATCTCCTTGCTCATTCTTCTCCATGTCCTCCAACTTCTATGTCAAATTATCACAGGACTCAAACTTGAAAACTCTATGTACTCATTATTGATAAGTTTATCTACCCTCATAAATTTAAACTCATCTATATACTGATTAACTCCAAATCTGTATTTTTAAAGACTGTGTTTAATATTCATATATTTACTTACCTAATCAGAATTACCACTCAAAACATCTAATAGGTATCTCAAGCTGATCATGTTGCTACTGTACTTACTTTCCTACTCTAACTTGTTCTAATTTTTACCTTAGCTAACAGTAACTCTATACTCAAACAGCTAAACGATTCAAAACCTAAATTATACCCTCTTCATCTAATTATACCCTCAGTCATCTTCCATGATTTTCTTTTTCTCCACATCAGTTATCACTGTCCAACATAACATGTACTTATTTTATCTTCATTCCCCTGACTGGACCCACATGGTGAGAACTTTTGACTATTTTTTCCACTGCTAAATATAACCAGTCCAAACAACTGAACTTAGTCCACAGTGGGTACTAAATATTAACAGAATGGACAAACGTATATTAATGGAAATTAAGCCTGCTTACCTCGACCATATTTTTTTCTAGCTCTTGGCGTTTGTTTTCTTCACTTGCCAGGTTTTTCTTTTTGAGGTCGAATGCACTTTGAGACTTAGTATTAACTCGCTGAGCCTCTGCAAGAGCATCTTCTAAAGATCGGAGTATGCCTCCAATTTCCTGTATTTAAATGCGTATAACTCAATTAACTTACTGAAAATATGTTCACGTCTCAATGTTCTTCCATGATTTCTATTTGAAATATTTATTTTTAAAGCTATTTTATCTTAAATTAATACAGAAAATGAAGCCCAATGATAGAGTATATTATCTGTTCTTACTTAATATGTTCTGACCTTATCTTTTCGTTTTTCCAATTCTTCTATTTCACGATTAAGTGCCTTTATTTTTTTATCATTCTCAGATGATTCTTCTTGAAGCTTTATAATTTTATCCTGCATTTCTTTTAACTCCTCAGCTGAGCGCTCTTTAGTATCTTCAGCCAGCAAAAATTGATAAGCAATGTATAAACGACTCAAATGTTCTATTTCTCTCATTACTTTTTGGTACTCCAAATAGGAAGATCTCTCCTGCAAGACAAATAATAATAAAGAATAAATCACAATTCATAGTTTTAAACTATGGGAAAAATCAAACTATAGCAACACATATCAGATTTCCCATTGCAGCTAATAGATTTAAATGATCATGGCATTTTAATTTTAGGAAATTTAAAATAACATCAGAAATCTGGCTTTTTAGACGGTATTCAAGCACTAATCCTACATGACTAATTTTTCTAATATACAATCAGGAAGTTGGATTAACAAGGAAAGTGACCACAAGGCCCATAAACTGGTAGTAAGTGCCATAGTAGTATTACCATGATGCCTACCCTAGCATTCTTTCAAGTACACCAAAAGCACTTGTTCATACAAGATAAACTTGATTCACATAAGGATCTGGTAAAGCAGACTAAATATCAAGTAAAATACCTAATTTTGAGATGAAGAAATAAATTCAGTGGTTAAATAACCTATCCATGTTACAGATATTCCTTGTTCAACAACTGACCAGTTTCATGATGGTTCAGACTCATGACCTATTTTTTTGTACAATTCTATACATCTTGTTTATAAAACCTCAATGTCTTCTTTTTGTACAGTATACCTTATTTATACATTTGATTGTACTGTACAGTGCTATGGTTGTTATACACTGCAGTAATACATGTAAGAGTTACACAAATAACAGCAAAGTCATCAAGTTGGAGTTTCTTTATTTTGTTCTACATATTATAGTGTACATGCTATATACAATTCCTCATTTAGTGACCACTCCATTGAATGAACTAGCCACAGGATCTTAATTGGTTGCTAAACAAGGAATGCCTGTACCTGATTTAGAAAGAATAAGGCAGAATCAGGTCTGAAACCAAAGTTTACATGTCTAATGTTTCTAGTTAAGCACACAAGTAAAGGGAGTACCTACAAGATCACCATTGTTCACTTTTCCCAGTATTAAACTACTGATTCAGAAGACAACCTTAAACAGTGCCAACTCTAATGGGCATTTAACAAATTCCTATATGGGTATCCATAAAGACAGTTATTTACAAATATATTCTTTCACTGAAACATTGACAGGTTCTATGATATAAGAAGGTGCAAATATTATAGACAAAACCTAATTTTATTTCAATTCCTTCCACATAAAATGCCTTAAGAGCAATGACTGGGATAGTTACCATTACCCTAGAAGTAATCTACTCTACCAGTGAAGGTTACTAAAAGTGCAATATCTTTTAAGAAATGTTGTTTCGGTCAATTCTAATTAACCAGGAAAGCCAGACTTGCTTCTATTCAATAAAGATTTCAGAATTAAAATCTAACATAATTTTCTGAGATTATAAAGATCATTCTCCAAAATCATGACTTAATGGGCAGAAAATATGTATCTTCTACAAGCCTAAAGCTGAGATATGGAATATCAACTCTAATTCCCTGTTTCACCCCCAAAAAATGGTATATACGTCATCCCTATTTGCCTGATTTTGGATGTATCATCAATTTTGAAAGACATTCTAACTGGCTGTCCTCACATAAGAAGTATACATACCTCTTTTAACTTTTGAATGGTTGGAGTAATCTCTTCTTCAAGTATCTGAAAAATACAGGAAAAACCGATATTTTCACTATGTCAAAAACTTTTAAACCATTTACAAAATATTTAAAAAGCCAGGTGTAACACCAGCTACTTGGAAGGCTGAGACAGGAGAATCATGAGTTCAAGACCAGCCTGGGTAATTTAGCGAGACTTTTTCTCAAAATAAAAATACATAAATAAATGAAAACAGTTGGTATAGCTCAGTGGCAGAGCATGTGCCTAGGCTGTAGAAGACCCTGGGTTCAATTACCACTAGAACAACAACAAGACAAGTAGTACAGAAGAATGCGGAAAACTAAAGGAAGAAAAATTTTCTCTCCTTACAGCAGAAACTCCAAATGCAAAACTGCACTCTTCTTCAAAAGTATTTTACATGAGTTTAATTACCGTCTTAATTTCTTTCAGCTTGGCCTCCTTTTTTTCTATAGTTTTCTGGGCAGCTATTTTTTTATATTCATACATCCTGGTTCCAGCTGCTTCTTCTATCATAGATAAGATCTAGAATGACAAGTGCATTAATGCCACATTTCTAACTATGCTTCATTAGAATTTACATTAGTTATATCATTTATAAATTGATCTCACTAAGCATCTTACTGAAATACCCTTCTCCATGACCCATAAAAGAGAAACAAATAAAATCCATTCAAGTCAGACTTCAGCCATTTGTGCCAACATGGCTGAAGCATGCCATGCATTTGATTCCCAACTGTGGCAAATGTGTTAACAACTCGGGCAAAGAATTTAATTTTCTTTCTGACTCAGTTTCTCCATCCAGAGTACTGATGTCTCATAGCACCATTAAAAATTCAAGAAAATACATATGAAAAGCCCTCTGAAAAATGAAAATATGAACTGCAATTGCATAATATGGTCAATTTTGCTAGCACTCTTTTTTCAGATGCTTCTATTCACCATCAATCCCGAGATCAAAAGAATTGTCTTTTTGAGGCTATACTATGTCTATATACCTGTCAGGTTTCAAATTAACAGATTCCCTTTAAGATATTATTCAAGGAAAATAAGCATGACCTATTTTCAAACAACTAGTGTTATCAATCATCAATCCTATTAGCTGCTTTCAATAGAAAAATACATCTAAAGAGCCCTTTTTATATAAAAAAATTAATTCCTTCATTCCAACTCTTTTCAGGGTAGTTCCAAAAGAAACTAAGTGTGTTAGTAATCTATTCTATGAAATAAACTAATTCACACAAATTTTTTCCTGTCAGGTTTTTCTGTAGGAATTAATCCTGACATAAATGACAGTTAAGCAGGGCTGCTTTATACAGTCAAAATCTGTTTTGATACTAAGAATATTGCTAAACATTAACCTACTCTCTTTACTAAACATTCTTAAATAATGTTTCCAAGAATTTTAATGCAAGAAATGATTTTAATTGCATAGATTTAAATAAAATCAACAATTAGCATACATTTATTATTCACAAAAAGCAATCTTACCTCTGGAGGTTTCATATTCAGTACTTTGGTAATTCGACCCTAAAAATAAAATGGGAAACTTACCATAATGATAGCAAATTATAGAAACTGTGATCTAAAGGCATTCATTGTAATCTATTAAATGGCTTTATGTCTTTTTTGTTGTTGTTGTTGGTACCAGGGATCAAACTCCAGTCCTTGCACTTGCAAGGCAGGTGGTGGAACACTGAATTAAATTCCTGGCCCTTGCTGTATGTCAATATACTAACCTTTGGGAAGATTTTTTCCTATATACATGAAAAGATATTACTTCTGTTAAACTTATAACCAAGGTACTTTTAGTTTTAGAATTTTGGAACTTTGGTATTCATTTTCTCAGTTACCAGTTATATCAATTACTTAAATTATTAAATGATATAAATAACTTACTAAATGAAACAAAGTTAACTCAGAGCATGTTTCTACGGCAGTTAATATTAGAAACATTGATGTAATTCTAAAACATGTATATAATTTTAGCATAGTGAACATCTCCCCAATTTTTATACACCTTTAAGATAACTTCATAAAGCAGATCACAAATTTCTAGACCTCAGAATATTTTATTTCAATGCCAAAAAATGCTTTGAATTTGTTCACTACTATAACAACGATAACAAAAAAACCCTGCACACTCAAATCTCAGAGAATTATATTAGTCAGGATATAAATTCATTAGAAGAAATCACCAGCTTCCCAAACTGGGGAATATTTTTACTGGTATAATTTGAATGTGTTCTCTAAAGTTCATGTCTTGGAAACTTAAATGTCCAATGCAAGTGACGTGAAGTAAGGCCTAATAAGAGATGATTAAGTCATGAGGGTTCTGCTCTTATGAAGGGATTTATGATGCCAGGGGTGGGTTAGTCATTAAGTGGGCCTTTAGAAAAATGATTTGGCCCTGCTTATTTCTTGTGTTCTATAGTCTACTTTGCCCTGTGCCACACCACAGGGTGACACAGCCCTCATCAGATGCTCATCCCATGCTGTAGGACCTCTAAACCTCCACAACCATGAGCCACACAATTTCTATTGTTTATAAATTAGCAAGTCTGGTTTCTGTTATACCAACACAGAATGGACAAACACAAGATCCTAGCAACATCCTGTCATTGACCTTGCTGTGGTTCTCTCAAAGAGTAGCTGGATGAATCAAGTGAAGTAATAAATTCAAGATAATATCAGCCTTTACTTTTCATTTGCCTAAATCGCTAAAAAAGAAAATTATTCAAATTTTTATACTAGAATCTTAAAATGTATTAACTCAACAATTTAATAAGTGAATTTATTCTGACAGTTTTTTATACTTATTATGGTTTGTGTTAGGTGAAGCCTCAGGTGGTCATAGGTGGGGCTTTTTTAGGTGGACAGATCTAGACAGAGTATGTGACTGATTCAAGGTATAATGCTAGGATTAAGGGTGGGTGATTACTCAATCAGTTCACTGATTGGTTTGGCATCTGCCCTAATCCCAGTAGCACAAATATAATATAAAAGGGGCAAAAAGATGCTACTAAAATCTCTTGCTTACTTTGCGATCTTCTGCCCACCATGAACTGTTTCTCTTCTGCAATGCTACCCTGCCTCGAAGCCAGCTGATTATGGACTGAAATCTCTGCAAAGTGTGAGCTAAATAAACTTTGGGTGTCAGCTATTTTGTCTCAGCAATAAGAGAAAAGTAGCTGAGGCACTTAGTATTTCTTAAAAGGTGCCCAGATACAGCATAACAGTATATAAAAAATTTTAAATTGGAAAAAGTCAAATAAATGTAAAAAGAAACTAGAAAATCTTAAAATACAAAGTCAGGGCTAGGGATTTAGCTCAGTGGTTCCGCCGCCTGCTTTGCAAGTGTAAGGTCCCTAGTTCGATCCCTTGTACCAAAAATAAATAAATAAATTGAAATAAAACAGAAAGTCATCCTATTATAATAACTTAAAAATAAAAGATATTAAAACTATTATAAAGGACATACAGAGACTTCAACTAAAATACCTGCATGATGAGAAAATGAGGGTTGTTTACATTCAGGCCAACAGAACAGAAGAGATCCTGTACTCTGGTGTTGTTTGCATTTACTCCATTGATTAAATATTTATTTCTGCCACCAATAACCACCTAAAGAGGAATTATTTAAAATATAAATGTGCATGCATATTTTATGCAAAATGATAAATTACAAAATATGCTACCTTGAATTTATTTGTTCAGTACAATTAACCGTAAACAAACTAATCCTAAGTAGTACAAGAAATATGCTGAGATCAAAATGATTTCTAATTTGAGTCTTGCCAAACTTTCTAAGTTAGGCACTTCTACTAACCAGTTATACAATCATGCATAAGCCTCTTAACCTTAATATTTTTCCCAAAATGGAGGTTATCTCAGATGATAGCAAGGTGTCAGATAACTGAGATGTTCAAACACAGCCAGAGAAGATATGAGTATGTTTCAAGAATGGTTGAGTTCAAGCATGGCTCAGTGCTTATACTGCATGGAACACCTTATAGATTTCACTCAATCCTTAGTTAATGTTGGAATTTCCATCATCAAAATACATCCAGAAATCACTTAACCAGAGAACACATTTACGAGAACTGCATCAAGTGATTTCATCACTGTGCAAACATAAATCTACTTACACAAATCTAGACAGCTATGACATCACTCGGTATCAACATGTGAGACCTATGTCACATATGCTCTTTATCAATGACTGAAACATCATTCCTTGGTACACGAATATGTACAATATTTTTAAGGACTCTAGTCAGTATGTGATGGATCAATTTTGCTCATAACTTTTTCTGACATTTTTGGCAAGGCCATACTACCAAATAACACATCAGTCATTAAAGTTCTTTGAATAGTATAGAAATATTTAATAGTCACTCACCTGCCTTGTAACTGTGATTTCATCATGTACTTCAAATCCCAAAGGGCTTTGCTTTTTGTCAGAATTATCAAAGGTGATTGACACAGATGCTTTGGTAATTCCAGCCTGCCCATTTTTGTAAACTAAATCTTGTAGATTAGAAGCCCGAACCTAAAATGAAATGTTTATCAACTACAAAACCCCATATTGTACAAAGGAGCATCAAAACTGGACTGCTTACTATGGAAAACCCATTCATACAGTAATCACTGAGCAGACAAAAACGAGTCAAAACTACTGGCAAAGACAGGACAACAAAAGACCTGCAAATGGGCGCCTTTCTCTACAGAATCTTTTCAGCTCTGAATTGTTCTCTATTCATTACTTACAAAAGTTAAGTTGCAAGAGTTAAGGGAATACAGTGCCTATGAATTTCTCTAATCATCCAATTCATTAGTATGTTGTAAAAAGGAACAGTTACCCAGGGATGGGAAACAAAAACAGGGTGCTGTGAAATGAGGCTGTCTTAAAAACCACAATTCCTAAATCTGGGTATTACTTCCAAACATCTTAATGGGATAGACCTTAGGCAACAACTCTAAAATTTCCATTTTCTCATCTAGCAAGTGGGGTAATAAATAGTTCTTTAAAGGGCGGCACTGAGATATAAAATAACTCACATAAAAGTACAAAAATGTAAATGAAGAAAGCATCAGCAATATTCTCCACAGTTTAGTCAGGATTCCCTTGCCAGAGCTGAATTTTTACAAAGCAGAAAGTTCACACTTTACCTGAGACAGGTTGGAGATGCCCAGCAAAAAGCAGATGGAGTCCAATATGTTGGATTTTCCACTACCATTTAAACCAGTGATAGCATTGAAGAGGGGGTCAAAACCATTGACTTCAGTCCTCTGAGCATAAGACTTGAATCCTTCAAGAATGATTGACTTAATATGCATTTTCCAATATTATGTTGGGCCAGTAAATCTCCGCTAGAAATTAAACAAACCACAAACTAGGTCTGTACAAAATAAAGTGTAAACTTACAAGTGTTTGACACTAAAAGAGGAATGATAGGGCAACAGAAATAGCCACTTGCCAAACTACCTTCCCCAATGTAAAGTATCTTCCTCCTACTTAAAAGCATGCAAAAGCTAACCATTACGTAGTTCAAGCATTTAACTTGAAAGTCGTTCTCTTACACCAACTTCTGCAGGCTTGTTCACTTTTATCATAGTCAACTACCGCGGCAGACTACTTACTGATCACAGTATTTATCTCCCAGTTTGCCCACAGTGCTCTGATACTGGCATGGCCCCTCACTCCGTTACTGCACTCACATCTTTGCACAAATCTCACTTTACCGGATGAGGTTCTTCCTGGCCTTATGAGAGCGGTCCTTTCTGACCACCCATTCCCTCACTTTCTTTTTTCTTTTCCCTCCATGAAACTTAACGTTGTTACTAAACGCATTTATTTGTCTATCCAGTTCATTGTAAGTTTCTGTAAGATGTCTACCTGCATCGCTGTGGCCCAGAATAACTGCCCGACTATCGAAAGAGATGAACCTCATATTCTCCAACAGTGCTTGTGCCCAGACCATTCATTCGCCTCCAGTGCATTTCTCTCTACACTAGCTCGCCTCACTCGGAGACAGGAGTACTAATCTTTATCCCTAATCAAAGCTGAAGCCCCTCCTAGCTACTCGCCCGCCGAGGCACCAGGCCGGGCCTCACCCGCCGCCCGTACGCGACCGCCTGGGCGCTGCGCAGGTAGCCAGGTCCCCAGAAGCTTCTCTGGTCACAGGGACGGACGGGAAGCCAACCTTACCTAGCTTAGGGGGCCACAAGGCCAACTTGACCATAGCAGAAACAACACCAGCCCTAGTCCCTACATCCGCGCCGGAACTATTTATTCCTTTGAATTTCGGCGCGAGCAAAGGACCCCACCTCCGCAATTTATTTCCTGTGTTGGTGCCTAGGAGCTGCCTGATTGCAGGTTTCATCTTTTCTCTCGCCTCAAAGGATCACAGGGACAAGAAGATAAAAAAGAGAATTTCCACAGTAGCAGATCCGAGTCTACAACGAAGTGAGAGTGTTGACTAAAGGAAAAAGTAGTACACGTTGACAACAGCATCCGGCATTCTCTGGGCACCCCCACA